ATCAAAAACTATATAAATAATTATATTAATGTGTTTACAGAATAAAATTTAGAAGGTAGAGAGAGACCTGTAGTTTTAATGGTGACTTTGAGGTGGTTAGAGAGGTTAACATAGAAAAGAAATGACTTGCCTTTGTTTTCTCCCTTTTGTAGGGCGAGATAGCTACTCCGGTAGAGAAATCAGCTGAATGTTAATACACTGAGAATTGACTCACATGCAATTATTTCTTTAGCTTCATACTGATAATTTTACTTCTTTAGGAGTGTGCCTTTTAAACCATGTTTTAGAAACTTAACGTTAATAGTGTTCAAAGTCATTAGCCTATAAATAGATCCTTAGAAAAAGCTCTTCATTTTAGGGGGAATTCATCATAATAAAAAATGAGTATAAAACATCTCTGAATATAGCCTTAATAATTTATCTTAAAGTAAACTTACCTTATTACTCAACTGATAGAAAATGTAACATACTCTATTAAAAAAAGAAGAAAAAGGGATTTCCCTGGTGGTCCAGTGTGTAAGACTCCGCATTCTCAATGCAGGGGGCCTGGGTTTGATCCCTGGTCAGGGAACTAGATCCCACATGCCACAGCTAAGAGCCCACATGCTGCAACTAAGACCCGGCACAGCCAAAATAAATAATAAAATAAATAAATATAAAAAAAAAAAATGTAACATACTCTTTTACCAAAAAAATTGGTAAGAGTTTTTCTTAAATATTTTAATAATTTTCTGTTCTAATTTCCATTTTAAGATAAATTGCTTTTAGTAATGTTAAATATCATTATCACCTCTACTGCTTATGTGTTTTTTTGAGCTCCTGTTCTTTAATATTACAGATTATATTAGTACATCTAGAAAAAGGTACTTGTAAAATGTTTCATTTAAATGAGTCATTTCAGTTCACTGGGCATACCTCTTTATGAGTATCAGTTATTTTGCAAAGTTCTTAAATATATTTCTAGTATAAAAAATGATGTAAAATATTGCTGAAAATATATAAGACAGAAAAGAGCAAAAATCACATTCTACCCCTGCAACCAAAAATTGCTTTCATGCAAGCATTTTTTAATATAGTAAAGATACTAACTATATACTTCCTGTTTCTTTCAGGTTTTTTTCTCAATTTGTCATTTACTATTTATTCTCAGTATACTTGGGATTCACTTGTATATGAATCAAATCGGTTGAACATAGTCCTTTTATTTCTGCATTCCAAATAAGTAAAATCTCTATTTTTCAAGTCTGTTCTTTTTTCTTGTCTGTTATTTGATTCTTTCATCTTATTTTTCTATTTTTAATCTAGGTAGTATATTGGTGTTAATATAAGGCAGTCTTTTTCAATTGGGAGAGAATTAAGCTCTAATGCTCTAAGGCATCTGTTTTTAACTGTGAATTAATTCCCCTTCTGTGTGTCTGAAATGGTGCTGGGTATGTACCATCCTTGGGAGAACTGAGAAAATAGTCACTCAAATCATTTTTCTGTTTGTGTTTAAGATGAAGCATCCTAGTTTAGGAAGCCTGTTAAAGCTCTAAATAAACTTTTTTCAACATTGTTAACAAATTGTCCCAACCACTGAATAATCCAATACCACACAATTGTTGTGAAGATTAAATGATAAACGCATATAAAATATTTAGCATGGTGCTTGGCGTATAGTGAACAAAATAGATGTTAGCTATAATTCTTTTTTTTTTTTTTTTTTTTGGGTACGCGGGCCTCTCACTGTTGTGGCCTCTCCCATTGCGGAGCACTGGCTCCGGATGCGCAGGCTCAGCGGCCATGGCTCACGGGCCCAGCCGCTCCGCGGCATGTGGGATCTTCCGGAACCGGGGCACGAACCCGTGTCCCCTGCATCGGCAGGCGGACTCTCAACCACTGCGCCACCTGGGAAGCCCTATAATTCATTTTTGTCATTAAATTTTTTGAATTGGGTGTATTTGAGGATTTTCTTTTTGGGCGGTACTAATATAACCATATAGATACTTAACGTGGTTGAATATCTTGGGACTAGTTTTCTACCCTCTTGACCTCTCTTGCAACTCTTGCTTTTATTTTTCAGATAATTTTATTTCCAACTACTTGTTTATTCTTCCAGATGGTTTTTAGAATCATTCTGTCAAATTCCAAGAATTCCAGTGGGATTTTTCTTGGTATTTAATTAAGTTTATACATTTAGAAAAAATGGTATTATGTTTATAATATTTAGCCTTTTCATTAGGGGACATAGTTTGTTTTTCTGCTTATTCACATTTTCTGTTATATTGTTTTATAGAGTTTAATAGTGCTTCTTATATATGTTTAACTGAATCACTCTGCTGTACAACAGAAATTAGCACAACATTGTAAATCAGCTGTACTTCGATTAAAAAAATAATTCTTCTTTACATAGGGCAAAACTATATTATTCCTAGATAATTTTATTTTTTTGCCACTGTTATAAATGATATCATTTCCACCCAGTATGTTTCTAACTGGTTATTTGTGATATTTTGAAGTTCTCTACGTTTTTAAAATGAATATTCTTTGAGAATACCACCTTTTCTCTTTTCAGTATTAATATTTGTTTCATATTTTTCTATTTTGTACAAACAATTTCAAAATAATGCTGAATAACTAATATGTGTTTTGGTCTTTTATTTAAAAATTGTTTTTAAATTTTTTTTTTTTGATGTGGACCATTTTTAAAGTCTTTATTGAATTTGTTACAGTGTTGCTTCTGTTTTATGTTTTGGTCCTCTGGCCAAGAGGCATGTGGGACCGTAGCTCCCCGACCAGGGATCCAGCCTGCACCCCCACCCCACCCCCCTGCCTTGGAAGGTGAAGTCCTAGCCACTGGACCGCCAGGGAAGCCCCATTTTGGTCTTTTAATAGGACTATTCTTCATATCTTAAGATCATTGGCTATTGGTTTAAAATATACTTCTTTTCAACTCTTTAGAAAATTTTTAAAGTAACATATGGGGCTTCCCTGGTGGCTCAGTGGTTGGGAGTCCGCCTGCCGATGCAGGGGACACGGGTTTGTGCCCCGGTCCGGGAAGATCCCACAGGCCGCGGAGCAGCTGGGCCCGTGAGCCATGGCCACTGAGCCTGCGCGTCCGGAGCCTGTGCTCCGCAACGGGAGAGGCCACAGCAGTGAGAGGCCCGCGTACCGCAAAAAAAAATAAATTAAAATAAAATAAAGTAACATATGCTCATTGAGTATAACCTTTAAAAATTTTGAATTGCTACGTTTTACACCTGAAAATTATATGATATTTTATGTCAACTATACCTCAATAAAATTTTTTTTTTAAGTAATAAATGCTATTGAAATAAACAGCATAAAAATACACATACCTGTAAGGAAGTACCAATGTATTTGTACTTTTTAAGATTTTTTTCAAATTAAGTGTTGAATTTTATCCCTTTTTATTTTGAGATGATAATATTTAACCTGTTTAATGTAACGTATTATTCTAATATATATCCTCGCATTCAAATCCCCATGGGATAAATCCTGCTTTGTCATGGATGGTTAAAATCCTTTTAATATTATACTCTAGTAAGTGGGAGAAGTTAGGCTCTTAGAATCAAAGCAACTTGGATTTGTATTCTTTTGTGACATTTTTAGCTGAATGACCTTGACAAAATTAACTGACTTCTTTGTATGTTAATGTTAGTATTAGTAAACTGAAAAACCTATTATAATCCTGATGTCTAATGGCTTACCCTGCCCCTTGAGTTACAGATAAAGTTTATCTCACTGTCTCCTCTTTCACTCAGTCCCCCTCCAACCAGAGCAGTTCCACACCCAGTGGAAATACAAAGTCCTCCACAAGATCATGTAGAAATCTTATTTTCTCATGATATCTATGCTTCTGAACCTTTGCTTGTACTATTGCTTCTTCCATTTCTCAGCTCTTTGACTCAGGTGTGAAATTTAGTACCTTCCTTGATTTTCACAAAATCCCCACTGTTTTTTAGTGGGGAGAATTTGTGACTTTAGTAGACTATATCAAGATCTAGGGAAAACTATGAGGTAGAGGTAATATAATTTAAAATAGGGCAGTAGGGGGACTTCCATGGTGGCACAGTGGTTAAGAATCCGCCTACCAGTGCAGGGTACACGGGTTTGATCCCTTTCTGGGGAGATCCTACATGCCGTGGGGTAGCTAAGCCCATGTGCCACAACTGTTGAGCCTGTGCTCCAGAGTCTGTGAGCCACAACTACTGAAGCCTGTGCTTATAGAGCCCGTGCTCCGCAACAAGAGATGCCACCACAGTGAGAAGCCCGTGCGCCTCAACGAAGAGTAGCCCCCCGCTCGCCGCAACTAGAGAAAGCCCACAGGCAGCAACGAAGACCCAACGCAGCCAAAAATAAAATAAATAAATAAATAAATTTAAAATAGGGCAGGAGACATCGCTATGTTTAAATGTTTTTAGCGACTGTATTCTTGGTTTTTATCGGCCATTTCACCTACCTGGTCCTGTTTCTCTCTTGCTGCTTTCTTTTCATCTTGCTTACCATTACCTTCCCATTAAGACCAAACCTTTCTTCATGTTCCATGCAGAGCCATTCTACCTTCTTTGAATCTTTGACACAAAACAAATGCCCAGGTCTTTGGGGGTATTAGTTTCTTTTCGAAGAGCAGTTTTGGTTCTAGCTATTAATAACTTTTTCCTACCTGATTACCTTTTAGGATTGTGTTGAATAAATTAAATTGAATAACCTTAAAGCATGCAAGCCAGCTGACACAGTGGATATTCTGAGATTTTTCCTTCCCCTCCCCATCACTTTGGCTACTTAATGCATGCTAATCGTACTATGCCTATGGCAGCTAAATCATTTCGTCTGTGATGTGTAGTTGACAGTGCCTCTTTTATTTCATAAAATCAGCTTTTCTGATATTCTTTTATATTGCTAAGCTTCATGGAATTCTTTAAATTTACAATTTGTTTTTATGTGTTAGGAAAGTTAGTTTTCACTTGTTTTGCAGAACATTAATTGTAAAAGCCAGTATGGCCACAGGAGGAGGTCCTTTTGAAGAAGGCATGAATGATCAGGATTTACCAAACTGGAGCAGTGAGGGTGTTGATGACCGACTCAACAACATGGTAGGATATCTTACTATTGATGGTGTGTCGTTGGCTGCTAATGTTAGACTGCAACTTTCCCTTGACTTAGCCAAGTCATACTCACTGAAACTCTTTGAAAACACATTTTTTCTTGCTGTCCAAGATATTAAATGACCCTGGGCTATTTGTTATATTACTTGAAGACATTTTTGTTTTTAGGTAACATATCAACTTGAGTTAGCTTAAGCCAAAAAGGAGATTTATTACAAGGATATAAAGATGTTTTATGGAAAACACCTTAAAGGAATATAGCTGGGTTTTAGGAAGGGACTTAAAAAAGCAACCAGAAAGTTGTCAAGAATTGCTTTTTCATTACGCTGACTCTTTGCTTCTGTGTGCCTCCGCTTAACACAACTTCTTTTCACAGACCAGTTTTCTCTCCTCTCTGGTCCATGTGGTATACTATGGCTGCCCCTTCATTCTAAAGTTTTCAGCTATGGCTGCAATTATATACTGACTAGTTATCTCTTAGTTCCATTTTGAAATTTTAACATATGATTATCCCAGTTTGGATTAGATATGCATCTCTTTTCCAGTCATCTATGGCCAGGATTGGGTGGGGTAAGTAGAATAAGAGGTTGGCAGGAACACCCACACATGGATTGGGGTGGAAGGACAGTTTGTAGAGAAAGGAGTTTTATTATAAAAGAGAAAACTATCCCAAAAGATTTTACTAAAGTAAAACTAAAAGACTCTTCCAATATGGATAAAGTGGGAATTTATAGCTTTTTTGTTGAATGCGTTATATGAGTATAGCTAAGTAAATAAAAATGTTTTCTAGTTAAAATATTAAGCATTTTTTTGGGCTTCCCTGGTGGTGCAGTGGTTGAGAGTCCTCCTGCCGATGCAGGGGACACGGGTTCCTGCCCCGGTCCGGGAAGATCCCACATGCCGCGGAGTGGCTGGGCCTGTGAGCCATGGCCGCTGAGCCTGCACATCTGCAGCCTGTGCTCCACAGCGGGAGAGGCCACAACAGTGAGAGGCCCGCGTACCACAAAAAAAAAAAAGAAAGAAAAAAAATATTAAGCATTTTTTTGTCATTTCATATTAGACCTTATCATGTAGTACATTGTTGCCTATAGAAAATAATAGTTATATTTATTGCTTACTATATGCTAGGCACTGTGATAGCTGTTTTATGTACGTTTTTTTCTTAAAAAATTTTTTTTATTGAAGTATAATTGCTTTACAATGTTGTATTAGTTTCTTCTGTACAGTGAAGTGAATCAGCTATGTGTATACTTATATCCCCTCTCTCTTGGACCTCCCTCCTCTGCCCCCATCCCACCCATCTAGGTTGTCACAGAGCACCAAGTTGAGCTCCCTGTGCTATACAGCAGGTTCCCACTAGCTATCTATTTTACACACAGTAGTGTATTTATGTCAAACCTAATCTCCCAGTTTGTCCCACCCTCCCTTTATGTATATTATTATTAATCGTGTTTTAAAGGTGACACTATTTTAGAGATTAGGAAACTGAGATCTTGGGAAGTTTAATAAATTGCCTGGGGTCACACAGTGGGGCATTTCTTCCTATAACAGTAATTGCTTTAGAACACAGGTTGATTCCAGACCTGTCTACCTATATATACTGACTTTAAAGGAGGCCAGTAAATATATATATAATTTATTTCACTATTCAGTTTATAAATAGTAAGGAACCATTTTTATTTTATTTTTTTTAATTTATTTATTTAATTTTGGGTGTGTTGGGTCTTCGTTTCTGTGAGAGGGCTTTCTCTCGCTGTGGCTAGTGGGGGCCACTCTTCATCGCGATGCGCGGGCCTCTCACTGTCGCGGCCTCTCCTGTTGCAGAGCACAGGCTCCAGATGCGCAGGCTCAGTAACTGTGGCTCACGGGCCTAGTTGCTCCGCGGCATGTGGGATCTTCCCGGACCAGGGCTCGAACCCGTGTCCCCTGCATTGGCAGGCGGACTCTCAACCACTGCGCCACCAGAGAAGCCCCAGGAACCATTTTTAAAAACGCTTTTGAAAATATTCAGACTGACGCTAGGTTTGGAGTTTGGGTATTTGTATTTGTTAATGACCTATGATAGGAAAGTAATTATTTTCTGAATAATTATAATTTCAGCACAGTTTGAAATTTAGGCTAGGTATAGTGGAGGGAAAATGGGTTAGTACAAGTAAATAATTGTCTCTAAGACTATGTATTTATGTGAAAAATGTTTGTCATTTAAAATTTTTTTTTTTTTATAAATTTATTTATTTAATTTTGGGTGTGTTGGGTCTTCGTTTCTGTGAGAGGGCTTTCTCTCGCTGTGGCTAGTGGGGGCCACTCTTCATCGCGATGCGCGGGCCTCTCACTGTCGCGGCCTCTCCTGTTGCAGAGCACAGGCTCCAGATGCGCAGGCTCAGTAACTGTGGCTCACGGGCCTAGTTGCTCCGCGGCATGTGGGATCTTCCCGGACCAGGGCTCGAACCCGTGTCCCCTGCATTGGCAGGCGGACTCTCAACCACTGCGCCACCAGAGAAGCCCCAGGAACCATTTTTAAAAACGCTTTTGAAAATATTCAGACTGACGCTAGGTTTGGAGTTTGGGTATTTGTATTTGTTAATGACCTATGATAGGAAAGTAATTATTTTCTGAATAATTATAATTTCAGCACAGTTTGAAATTTAGGCTAGGTATAGTGGAGGGAAAATGGGTTAGTACAAGTAAATAATTGTCTCTAAGACTATGTATTTATGTGAAAAATGTTTGTCATTTAAAATTTTAAGACCAAAAATCTTTAGGCATACCCAAATATTTTCCTGATTTGATAGAGGCCAGATTAACTTTTGCCTGTACTTTTTTTTTAAAGGAGTGGGGTGGCCAACAGAAGAAGGCAAATAGATCATCAGAAAAGAATAAGAAAAAGTTTGGTGTAGAAAGTGATAAAAGGGTAACTAATGATATTTCTCCGGAGTCATCGCCAGGAGTGGGAAGGCGAAGAACGGAGACTCCACATACGTTTCCGCATAGTAGATACATGACGCAGATGTCTGTTCCCGAGCAGGCAGAATTAGAGAAACTTAAACAGCGGATAAACTTCAGTGATTTAGATCAGGTTTGTAAATTATTTTAAAAATCAAGTTATGACTATGGAAAATATTTGCAATAGACTAAATAGTTTGTCTTAATAAATTTGAGCTGTTTATTTCCTTTTTCTTAGTTTCTGTGCATATGGAAAGAATGTTAATCCGTTGTGATGGTACTGTGTTCTTTGGAGGGCGATAAAGTCCTTATTTCTAAACTTGCTGAGGACAAGTCTCTTGGGACTTTATTATTATACTATATGACTAACTTAAATGATTTCATTTTGAAACTAAATTATGCATGCTAGTAACTGAGTAAGATTGCTGTTAAGCAAAAGGGAATATCCAGTTTAGAATATTTGTCATTTGTTAAGTGTGGGATGTGCTGGGTTATCTCAAGTTTAGAATAAAACAGTTGTTTGTATTTATAATCACTGAAATCAAGTTTAGAACTAAAAGCAAATAGAAATGATAATGAACTCTTAACATTTTACTGTCCCATCTGTACTTCATAGAGATAAGTTTTCCAAATATACATAAAGGTAGATTCAAGTCTGGTATGATGGTGATGATCGTATATCATTTAGTCACCTGTGTGTTAATTATTGAACATTTACTGTATGCCGGGCACTGAGTTGGGTACTTTATCAGACAATGCTTTACATTGACACATCTTGTTTTTAAAATTTATTTATTTATTTTTGGCTGTGTTGGGTCTTCCTTGCTGCGTGTGGTCTTTCTCTGGTTGTGGCAAGCAGGAGCTACTCTTCCTTGTGGTGCGCAGGCTTCTCATTGCAGTGGCTTCTCTTGTTGAGGAGCACGGGCTCTAGGCACACGGGCTCAGTAGTTGTGGCTCGCGGGCTCTAGAGTGCAGGCTCAGAAGTTGTGGCACACGGGCTTAGTTGCTCCGTGGCATGTGGGATCTTCCTGGCCCAGGGATCAAACCCGTGTCCCCTGCATTGGCAGGTGGATTCTTAACCACTGTACCACCAGGGAAGTCCTACATTGACACATCTTTATGTTGATGTTCATATTAATTAACATTGATTCATTGGGTCCAAAGCCTATGTTATATTCTGTGATCAGGTATGACTAGCAATATGAGTTATAAATATGATTCATAATCCTACTACTTCATTTAGACTAGTCTTGCTCATATTCATCATTTGAATTGTCTGACAGAATGAGGCCTAGGACGTGATAATTGAATTTTGATATTTTACTAAAAGAATTTTGTAGGTCTGAAGCTGTTTTGAATCTTATAGCAAATCTGTTTATATGCACCTTGTGAATCAATATCTGATGGTAAAACTAAGAACATTGGATTTTTTTTAATTTTGAAAGATTAATGTTTGTGGAATTTGGTTTCTTTTTCATATATAGAGAAGCATTGGAAGTGATTCTCAAGGTAGAGCAACAGCTGCTAACAACAAACGTCAGCTTAGTGAAAACCGAAAGCCCTTCAACTTTTTGCCTATGCAGATTAATACTAACAAGAGCAAAGATGCTGCTGTAAATCCTCAAAAGAGAGAAATGATTGGATCAGCACAATGTAAAGAGTTGTTTGCTTCTGCTTTAAGTAATGACCTTTTGCAAAACTGTCAAGTCTCTGAAGAAGATGGGAGAGGAGAGCCTGCAATGGAGAGCAGCCAGGTGATAAAACTTCTTTCTTTTGCTCTTTGCTTTCATAAACCTCAAAGTAGATTCATTAAGATTTAAAAAAAATATTGGGTTATGCACATAGGAATTTTAGTTAGGTAGAATTAAAGTACTTCTCTGACCTTCCTCATTATCAGATTTACTCAAAATGGTATAAATTTCTTTTTACCAAAATGATTGTAGAAATGGCATAGTAAGGTAAATTAAGACTTCTGTTCATCTGCCAAATGCTGTATTGCTAATTTTTAGTGAAGAGCAATTGGGAGCAATGTGATTAATAGATTGCTGTAGAAATTTTTTTTAATGGTTGTATAATTTTTTGAAAAAATTATTTTTCAAAAGTATCTTAATTTTTAAAATATATTTATAAAGAAATATATAAACAGAGAAATTTATATAAATAATAGTTTGATACGCAGTTTTATAAAATGAAGTTCCCAAGTAATGAAACTAAAACGCATTTTGAAATTTTTAAGTTAACAGTAATTGGAATTGTTAGTATTGCCTGTTATGTTTTGATTAAATTCTAAATTTGATTCAGATCTTTTGCATGTATGAATTCACACAATAAACCTAGAAGTATCTTTGGTTATTTGAAATTAAAATCTATAATTTTAATTCCCCCCCCACCCCAAATATTTCCCTTGCAGATTGTAAGCAGGCTTGTTCAGATTCGTGACTATATTACTAAAGCTAGTTCCATGCGGGAAGATCTTGTAGAGAAAAATGAAAGATCTGCTAATGTTGAACGCCTTACTCATCTAATAGATCACCTTAAAGAACAAGAAAAGTCATATATGAAATTTCTCCAAAAAATTCTTGTAAGTTTTGGACCCTTTAAATAAAGTATTGAGTTATTTTTGTAGTATATCAGTGTGCATGTACTGATGACATTCTGATGCCACCCCAGAGGAGTTAATATATTTTCAAAAAATCGTGCCATCCATTATAACATTTTATTGCCCTTTTTAATAGTTGTATGATTTATACCGCTAAAATATTTCAGGCTAGAGAAAATGAGGAGGAGGATGTTCGGACTATAGATTCAGCTGTGGGATCTGGTTCTGTAGCTGAGAGCACATCGCTAAACATAGATGTGCAGTCTGAGGCTTCAGATACCACGGTAAGCGGCTTTTTAGTAATTAAAGTGCTGGAAATGAAGATATAAAGTTTTCCCCCATTTTTCACGATGATATTTTTGTAGGCATTCCTTAATGAAAAGTTTATCTCAGGGAAGAAACCCTCAGATTGTTAATGCTGTATATATTCTTTTTGAACATGGAAGTTTAAAAGTTTTATTTATTAGCATTAAAAATAGTTTTAATGGTTGATTAAATCTAATAATATCTGATCTTCAATTTGCAGAAACCTGGTTTTTCTAGTTTGTTTCATTAAGCACAGCTTTACTCATTTTAAGAAGCATTGGGAAAGTTAAAATTCATTGTGGATGTAAGAGCTATAAGTACAGTGTCATTGCTTAACATGTCGTCTGTTGGAAAAGTCTCCAAGTTAATTTCCCATTGAGGAACCATTTTAAGGCTGTTAGGATTCTCATTTCTCAGGCTAGCTTAGAACGTAAGCAAAACCAGACGACTGATAAATTGAGATGAAAATGGGACAGGGTAGCATTTACTTTGGGATTTATGCCAGTGAGAAAAATACTATAAATTCTGACTCTGCAAAATGGAATGTATCAAAATACTGTCTTTTGGAAAAATAATCAGAAATTTACAGAACTTTGAGGAAAGATTTATAAAATAAACTTAATTCGTAGAAGTTAGTATGAAATTAGTATACTTTTAAGCATTTTAATTTTAGCAGGTGAACCTACAACCATGCGTTAGTAAACTTGAAAGCCTGTTATCAGTAATGCCTTTCTTGTGAAAGAATAGCCACGTGTATCTTTTGTGTCCGAGGTATGTTCCAAAGTACCATTCAGCATTAGGAATTTGAGGGTTTGTTTCCTTTTAATATTGACCTGCATAGTTTCCTGTCTGCCTCCTTTCTCTTCCTTGCCCTTCCTGATTTGAAGAGGAAATTTGAATTTTTTTTCTCTCCATTATTTTCACCAGGAGATGCTCAGAGGGCTTGATCCAAATTGTTGTTGAAGAATGGAGTCTACTGTGGGGAAATTGTTTTTCTATTTACAGTGGTGCTGGGAATAATTTCTTTCTCACATTTCATTCCAGCAGAAGTGGAAGGGTTGGGGCATGTCGGTAAAGGAATTCTGTTGGAGAGGAGTGGGAAATGATATAAATGATTATTATAGCTTATATGCTAGTGTGTATTGTATTCCCCATGATGAGAATTTCTTTCATATCATTAAATCAGGAAATTTTGAAAGTTAATAACATAGCCAAATAAATGTTGAATATGCTTCAGCAATTGTTGTATAGCTTATTGCCTAGGATATGATATTCACTTAATTATAATAAGCCAGAGTCTGTAGGAATTTAAAAGTCTAAAGTTTTATTGCCACTTGGGGGAGGGTGGATTGATTTTCTTAAAGATGGACTTGTAATTTTTTATATTTATTTACAAGACTGGCTTATGTTAAACAAGAGTTTGTGTTAAGAAATTAATATGTTACACTATTTAATAAAGGAGGCATCTTTTAGTCTGAGAATTCGGCCGTGCATTGAGGACAAACTAGGGAATTCAGCTTCACAAGAACAGGTTTCAGACATTGACGTTACAACAAGTCCAAAAGGGAAAGGTGACAGACCTCCTCAGAATGACAGGGAACTGAGGCCTGATAGGAAATATAGCCGAAAACGTGGATTTCCCTCAAAGGTATACTTCACAATATTAACTTGGGAAGTCTCTAAATGAGCACCTCTTTTGTTCATATTTCCTCTCCTTTATTTGCTTATTTGTTGTTGCTATTAACTTATAAATATGTGCGTTAACATGGTTAATTGTACTGTAATTTACATTAGTAAAATGCTGTCCCTTAGTGTTTTTTCCTTTTCTGCTTTCTTACTCTCCTCTCCATGGATTATGTGTGGCAGCTGTTTTTAATTTGTATTAACAAAGGACTTGAAACTTAATCCATTTTCCTTTTTTTTGCTGTTGAGAACTCGAAATATAACACATTCTTAAACCTTGACCATTAGTTGCCTTTTGTTTCTGATATTTGTGTTCATGGATTAAGATGGTATTTTTAAGTTTTGTCTTATTTCCTGTAGTCATTCATTAAAGAAAGAAAAAATAGAGCAAGCAATTAGCTTTCCTTTTTTTTAAATAATGAAATATTTGGTTGGCCAAAAATTCGTTTGGGTTTTTCCCTAACATCCTATGGAAAAACCCAAATGAACTTTTTGACCAACCCAATATTTTTAGTGTTTTTTTGTTTATATTTTTCTTCCCATTGGAAATCCCTTCTTCCATTCTTTTTTTAAAAAAAATTATCCAGTTGACTTGTTTCCTGATGTTTTTGCTACTTTTTTCTCCAATGTTTGCTGTAAATGTTCTTTTAATTTTCCACGATTTGCATAAAGACACTCAGGAAAGGTTTAAAGACAACTATTTGTGTAGTTCCACTTAAAACAGTTTGAAAAAACAAATAACATTTGTAAAAGTGCTCATATTTGACAGGAGTAAAGTACTATTTTAATAATTGAGTATAGATAAGACCAATTTCGTATGTTTTATTACTAGCTTCTTACCTAGGATTAGGCTTTCCTTTCTGTTATGTACATATTTTATATTTTTGTGGCGTTTAAAAATGACAAAGCTTAACCTCTAGATATTATGGTGTCTCCCCGCTCTCCCACAAAAGTTTGAAGATATAGTTTGAAGTTAGCTATAGTGATCTTACTATAAAATGTTAAGCAGAAGGTGCCCCAGTTCAACAGAATAGTAAAGTAGCTGATTATTTTTAAAACTACTAGCATTGGAGAAGAGAAAGTGAATGGGGGAAAGTAGATCCTTTGGAACTTAATGTTCCTTTCTTAAGTCTTCTGAATAGTGACAAACAGAACTTGAGTTGACAGTTACTACAGCATAGCATCTTCCAGTTTTACTTTTTTCCCCTAAGGCATTATGTTTGCTTTTAAAAACCACTTTTCTGTTTTTAAGTTTCTTTGAATAATGTCCTTATAAATATTATTTTCTCTTGAACTTCTTTCTGGAGTTTATTTTAATTTGATTCTTTTTAATCTTTTGATTCTTAGGGCCATCCTAGTGTAGTTCTATCAGTACTCTGTTCATAAAATGATTTCATTTTCTTAGGAAAAAACCCTAATTCCCACTGACTGACTTTATTCTTTCTCTGTTATGCAGAATCTGTTGTTCTCCCCACCTACCTTCATTCCCTCCTTAACATCCTTTCAAAATGTAGTATTCTGTTAGAAGACTAGGGGAAAAAGTTGGTGTCTTAACTGAGGTTCAGAGCTTAAAGCAACCTTGTGAGTTGCAGCTTGATAGGAGATAATTGATATTCTTGAGTTGCCTACAAGGGCAGAGTCCATTTTATGAAATATTTTACAGACATGATGACGTTGCATAATTTTTAAAAAGAGCTTTCCCTGAATACCCATGCCCTCATTGTTTTCCCATACTCATCTTTCCCCCACACTTAATCTCAGCTCTTAGAGCATTCATAAGCTTTTAAAAATACCATCTACCCATTTTTTGCTATCGTTTTTATCATTTCTAGTTACTTCATGTGGGCTAAATTTGTCTCCCAAACTAGACTATGCTTCTTCAGAGATAGTTTTAAATACAGAAGACATAGTCTATGGATGTAATTTTGGGGCAGATAGTATGATGTGAAAAAACACTAACCTAGAACTTAGGTATCTGATTTCCCCTCACTGTGATATTGGATAAATCACAGCTTTATCGTCTCTGGGCTTATAGTTTCTCACCTTTCAGATGACAAAACTTAGAATACATATTAACTGAAGTACTTTTCAGCCATAAAAATATATTTGGATCCATGAAGAATTATTGGAAGAACATCAGTTGAGTAGAGGAAAGGAAGACTTAGGGTTTTCTGAAATCTGTTACCTGTATGCAACTCGAGATTTCATGCTTAAGTTATTATTTTTTTTAATTTGTAAACTAAGAATCTACTTAACTGAAAGTGACTCAAAACGTTTAAATGAAAATATGTGTTTGAAGGATGCGTATAGTCCTGGCCTCCTTTTTTGGATTTCTATTCCATGTACCATCTTCTTGCCATGTTTTTATCCCCAGGTATTTTTATTACCATTTTCTCATCTTCCCTTTCTTTATATTTGATTGTAGTTCCACCCCCCTCCCTCAGTTCATCTTTTCTAATTATTAGTCTGAAATGTTATTTATGTGGATGTAAAAGTTATTAAGCAGTAATAAAACTCCACTAATTTCAAAAAATTGTTGGGAATTCATCGTTGGATTAGTGAAAAATCTGAAGTTCAGAATTCTTTATAATTAGAGTATCAAAGTTTTGCAAATAAATGTGACTAACAAGGATTAAAGTTCTTTTTAAAAGTTTGCATTTTAAAGGGTAATAAACCATAATATTAAATTGTTTAGTAAGTTCTTCAAAATTAGATAGCTTTAAGGTTAGCTTGAGGTCTAAACTATTTTTGAGAGACGGGAGGATTATGAATTAGATGGAGATAATGCATTCTTGATGGTTTTCTTTTTTCCTAGATGACTTTTTGCCTTATTTGTGTAATGTTTCTTTTCTTAGTCATTTACCACTGATGCTTTGTTGGAGTATTTGATTGATGTCAACCTGGAGAGATTTCTCCGAGTTGTTCCACTGAAATCTGTACCTGATTGGGTTTGGTTTTATATTTTACCAGTGACTTTGATGAAATTAATTTGGATCAGATCTGAGATGGCAACCTATCTCAGATTGATAGTTATCTCTCACCCTTCAAATTATTTTTTCAAGATGTAAATAGTCTTGAAATGAGCAAGAACTAAGAAGATGAATTTTCATAGGAATGAATGTAATGTTAACTAGGTAACTCCACTTGTATAAGATGGGAGAGAACTGAGTAAATTGTACTTGATTTGAAAATGGCTTTAGTTTATTGGAAAGTCTCCAGTAAATACTAGCTTAACCAAGATACAGTATTTCTCTTCCATGTTCATAAAGTCTAGTTGGCCAGTCCTGGATAGAGCATTGACCTGTTCTCTGATGCCTACATCAAACATTCTAACTGTAGTCTTCTACTTCCTATTTGAGCTTCCTTTCTTTGAGTTCTTAATTCTGAGCCATGTAATTATTTTTATTGCTTGCCAAGTTATCACAGTTACTCATTCTTATTTACAATACTGATGAGTCCTACTTGGGGAGGTAAAGAGAAGAGGTTTTTGCAAAGTATTGTTAAGGAATGTTACCCAGAAGGGAATTTCTCTGGCGCCATCTGTGTTCTCCATAATTTTTCTTGGAATCAAATGTACATAGGGAAAACAGATCAGTTCATTTTTACTTTGAAAAGAAATCATTGAGGTTTATTTTCCTTGTTAACTTTGGTCAGAGCCAGGGGAGAGCATTCATTTAAAGTCTCCATATCCCCCCCAAAAATTTGGTAGCAATGCAAATTTAAAATTGACTATTTCTAAATTAATAGAAATATTTTATGTAAATATTAGCTAAAATCATTAAACTTTTAAGATACAGAATTTTTTAAAAGGCAAATCAGTGATGAAAAATACCATTATGGTATATAGTTCATGCATAATTTGTCTTATTTATTGTTTCCAGGTTGTATTTAACTTTCTCTCTTTGATTAATTGACTTTATTTTTTCTGGTTGGGTTACACTTGAATAGTTTTAAGATTAACATTTAAAATTTTATAATTCCTTATAAGTGGCACCTATTTAATCTGTTCCTCTTTTAGGCAAAATGTTATATTTTGGGGGGAATTTCAAAGTAAATTATGTCCTCGGACTCAGCATTAAATGAGCATCTTTTGAAAGAAAAAATAGTAATGATATCTTTGATGCAAAAGATAATATTTTTTCTTTACTGTATGGTAATATAAAGTGATGCAAGTAAATTAAAGCCTTTCACATCAAATAATCAAATAAAAAGTATATTTTTAAAATTTCCATCCGTAGTTAGAAAATAGTTGGTTTTTGTTTTGTTGGTTTTTAAACATCACTTCTAGGAATGGGGCAGAAGATTTTTTAGTCTGGTCTTTCTCCAGGGCTACTTTTAGGGCATTAGCCTGGTATGATCTGCTCTTCCTTTTCTGTAAGGCCTGGATCCCTCATTCGTGTGTGTGTGTGTGTGTGTGTGTGTGTGTGTGTGTGTGTGTGTGTGTGTGTGTGTGTGTGTGTGTGTGCGCGCGCGCGCGCCTTCCTATGCCTTTTCCTTTATTTTCTTTTTGTTAATTCTTCATGCTAAGCATATGCATATGGTCTTTTACCTTAACTACCTAATTCTTAACATGATAGGCTGTCTCTGTGTCATCATTTTCTTCTTCTTTTTCTTTCAAGTCTGTATGTAGGGTTGTATATTTAATACTAATTTATTATCTATGTATGTACCTTGCCATTGGTGGTTGAAATAGGAACATGGATTTTAAAAGATATAAGTGTTGTTGGTCTTATTTTTCAGGCCAGAGATCCTCAGCAGGAGCCTATGGAAGAGATAGAAAATTTGAAGAAACAACATGATTTATTAAAAAGGATGTTACAGCAGCAGGAGCAGCTGAGAGCTCTGCAGGGACGACAAGCTGCTCTTCTTGCTCTGCAGCATAAGGCAGAGCAAGCTATTGCTGTGATGGATGATTCTGGTATGCCACCATCTTAGAATGTTTTTATAAGTAAGGCCCAATAAATAATGATATGATTGCAAGGTGGATGCTGGTTATTATATAATTAGATCTTGATTGTTGTCTAGTTTAGAAACCTACATGTGAGGCTTACCCTGTCCTGTGCTTTTCTCTGGTTATGCAGAAAAGGTTGCAGGGACAACTCCTGGCCATCATACTGTACCATGCAGACAGCCAGCTCGCTCTCCTTTTCATCAGAGAGTACCCTTAAGAGGTAAAAGGGACAGGATGTAGTCCTATATTTGTACCTCAAATTTATAGGGCTCTTGTTGCTTATATTTCTGCCTTTTGTACTTTATTTAACTAGGATTGCTATACTTTGCTTGCCTGCCAAGGAAGGGTTAAAACCTTAAGTGAGGCAGTGAATAAATGTAAGCTTCTTTGGCTTCTGACATGAGTAGTGAGGTATCCAATTGTATGCACTAGTTCCTTTGAACTAAATTTATATCCTATCCAGTCTCCCTGAGACTCAGAAATGTTCTTTTCTTTCTCCTTCTTCCCCTCATAGCCATGTATCACTTAGATGGAAATTGTATTGAATTCATTTTTTTTTCATTTTTTAAAAAATTTCAGCTTTATTGTGGTATAATTGACATATAAAATTATAAGATATTTAAAGTATACATCTTAGTGATTTAAGTTTTGTATTTTTGGATCTTGTTTAAGAAACCTTTCCCCATCCTGTGTATTGAATTCTTTAGTATTGAGTCTAACTTTATAGTTTGTCTTGTTATTGGCAAACCTACGTGTTTAATTTCTCATTAAGTTGAAAACAAATTGTTACTTATTAAAACTTAAAACCAAGTTATATTTTCTAGTAGTCTGTCATTACAGTCTAATAATAATTTATCTCCTGTGGGCTCTCCATTTTAGGTCCTTACTGTGGTTACCCTGTTGTTACTCAATTTATCGTGTTGTCCACACCTAGCCCACTGGCTCAGCCTTCTGATCACTGTTATATGTAATTTAATTTTGCATTTTCATAAGGAACTTTATGACTTGCAAGTAACTTACTCTTTTGTAATAATTATATAGTCATATAGAATATGTATGGTATAAGTATATAATAATTATGCAAATTTTCATCCCCATTTTTCCCTTGCAAAATTCAAAGTATCATTAGCTGTTAGATTTAGGAAAAAACAAAATATTTTAACAATGACAAATACAGTTTGGTTAATGACCAACTTTTAAAATATTTTTCAAGATTGGAGTATCAGATTTCAGAGACTTTCTTGTGATAATTATGTTATTTCAAATAGTTATATTTACGTCATCTCATTTGATCACCACAAAACTGTAGGTTAGTCTCCAGGGCTTTTTAAAATAATTCTCACTTTAGAGAGAAGGAACTCTAACACAGAGCTTGTGACTTGCCTAGGCTTATTGGAATTTTAGTAGAATCAGATTTCTTGAGTTCCAGGTCAGGGGTCTTCTATTTCTGAACATAAACCTTTATTTTTAAGTAAGCAGATAATCTTTCTTTCTTTCTTTTTTTTTTCTTTTATTTTTAATGTACTATTATGAGACAAGTACCAGGAGGAGAATAAACAGGAGTTAAAATTTGAATTTATTTTATGTACTATTTCAAAAAGAATTTTAGGTTAATGACTGAAAACAGATTTTCTCTTGCATTTATGAGATTTTGCAGGAGAATACTGATGAAAAAACAAACTTACAGTAATCTTTAGGTATATAAGAGAGGCAACATAATTGTCTTGGGAAAGAG